ATATGGTTTACGAGAGGCTTAGAAATAAAATTACACAGGATTAGGATGAATTACAGGTGTGAACAAAATGAGCATGGAAACAAATTGAGATAATAATTTTCAACTTGAAATGAAATTTAGGAGGGGTGAATATATGGATTACAAGAGTCTTTGTGCAACACATTTCGAATAATCTGATCACACACGGACTTCTCAAAAGAATACATATATATTAAATTAATAAAGAATTAAGAGGTGAGAAATATATACTACTTAGGTCAAGTTAAAAGGACAAGGTCAAAATAACAATGAAAATCACTAAACCAAATAACAGAGGTAATAGTACATCTACCCTGGCTGGTATCAAATCAAAGTTTACCAAGGAAGGTAGGTTCAGTGTGATGACGAATCGTTTCTGAACGCATAATGGTGGTTTAAACTTTCTAATTGCTAGCTAGGGCTTCCACATGCTTTAGGATACACCCTCGGCCAAACAATTTTGATAGATACGTTTGAAAGACGTAAAAACATCAATTTTATGTCCTCTCTCTATAGTATGCTTCGTGATAGAGGAGCTAGATCTCCTATTCTCACCATTAATGTGTCCTGTGCATTCTATTTACTTCTGGAGACATTTAGGAATATGCTCTGAAGCCAACCCTCACTTGCGGAGATCGGTGATTCTTCCCTATGTATGTATGTGTGTTCACACGTACATTAAAATAGGTAAATACTATGAGATGTGACATCATGTCTTGCATTTCCTCGGGGCTTCGATGGTTACATGGACTTCACATTCTCAATTTTGTTGATCTTGGCTGCAAATAAAGTCTTCTTTTTACACCAGCGTTTAATCTTTGTCTAGTTGTCAAGCTCATATGATCCCGCATGTAGGGTAGCTTGATGTACACGTCTTTCTTAGTGGCGAGTTGTAGAGTGGGTCTTGTTGTTCTGACTACTTTATATCTCATGATGAACTAGTCTGGAAAACTGTTATCAACCAGAGTTTGTGTTTTTTTTCTTTCTTCCTCATTAGGTGTGCTTTCAGTGAATTTTCGTTGGGTTGAGGGAGCACCTTACTAAGGCTCTTTTGAACTAAACAGGGTAGAAACTGTGACAGTTGAAAAACTGTTCTATCTACGTAGGTTTTCTGTTGATAGATTGTTCCATTGATCCTTCAGGCCGTCAACCGAGCAATGTATCTAGGAATAATAAACAATTATCTTCCCCTCCTACAGACCTAAGTGATTACAATGTCGATATGAAATTTTAAGATATGCAATATTCTTATGGAATAATATTCTTAGCAAAAAGATCTAATACAGTCATATATTTCGTTCTTTTATTGAAGTAGGACAGCTATCTATCGCCTCACATCACACATTATGTCACATCAGCGTGAATCAAGAGGTGATTTGCCAACAACTTCGCTAATACAGGGTGCCGCCAACAATTATGCATCTCATCCAACAGTTGTGCAACAATGCTGCATGCCGAGTAATCCACAACGGGAAAATCCCAGAATCCTTCGAAGTGAAGACGGCAGTAAAACAAGCTGGAGACAAGCTGGCTGCCTAATATCTCCAATAAATTTCCTGATTGCATTAGACTGGATAATGTGATAGACAGCGAGCCAGGAAAAGAGGAGACAAGCATAAAATGGACTCACACCAATAACTTGCAGGATATGGACTTCGCCGGTGATATATTTATGTTTGATTTCCCACAAACTAGAAGATATGCAAGTGAAAAGCAACAAGTTGACAGAAGAAGCATCCAGAGAAGATAGAACTTCAAGTGAACATATAGAAAACAGAGGTGATAAAGATTCCTGGCCAACAGCAACAAAAACAACAACAGACAACGATCAGCCGCTTGAATAGGAGAAATCTGAAAAAAGCAACCTCCTTCACCTACCCGGGAAGCATAGTCTCTTTTTATATTTTTTTTTATATTTTTATATTTTGATTTACAGCTTGATTCCACACCGCATTTTCAGTACAAGTATGGAACTTTCAGCATGGATATCGGTAGCCCAAATTCAGGCCGACCATAGATATCGGGTGGAACTGATGAGGATATGAAAGCGAGGATCGTGGAAGTGGGGCAGGCTTTCATTTCTCTCAAGTCTGCATGAAAAACAAGATCCGGATAAATCGTAGTTTAATGACTCCATAATAATTTGTTTTTTCTGATGCATCACACACATTGTGAAACAGTAATTAATTAATTAATTATAACTACACGACTTTGAAACTTTCGCTTCATAGTTTTCCTTATACACTCCTATTCCTTCCAGATATCCGAATGGATAGGTGTTGAATCATTTCTATTGCACGTATTTTCATTCAGTTGATTCGATAAATAAAACTTCCGGTGTTATTAGTCTCTCCCTTCACCCTGTTGATATATAAGATTTTAGATCTGTCATCTTATCCCATGTATTGAACGTAATGAATCGTATAGCTGAAATATTCTCAAGATTTATTAACTTGAAAGATATTAAAGTGGCATTCAAACTGACAAACTCAACTGGAAACAAGCTTTCTCAGTTGAAGGATCCTGTGGAACAGCCCGTTATACAAAACAATTCACTTTATCGAATATGCTGCCTGCAATCATTCTCACATCGAATGCATAGGTCAAATTAGTAGTGGGATGGGGTCAGTCAGACTAGCGCAGCAGTACAAACACCTACCAAAATCTAGATTAGTTGACCCGAATAAGATTAGAAATCTGAAGAATAGTTCAGCTACACTACTCACTACACGCAATTACACAGACACAACCACACAAATAGGATGGGATAAGATGACAGTTCTAAGAGCCAATATAACACCAGGGTGGAGTGAGAGACTGATAACAAGAACGGAAGCTTTATTTATCTAATCAACTGAATGAATATACATGTCATAGGAATAATTCAACACCTGTCCACTCGGACATCTTCGGAAATTCTACAACCCCCCCCCACGACGATGAATAGGAGGGAATATGGAAGACTATAAAATGAGAATTTCAGACTTGTGTGGTTATAACTGATGATATGATTATGAACAGTAGTAAATTTTGCTCGAAACCATGTCATCCAGTATGTGATAATACTCTTTCAGTCTGTGTGTGATAGATCAATCTAACAAACAAATTGATATGGAATTACATACACTACCACAGTGTCCAGGTTTTACACATATATTAACAACTTAGGTTAATTTTGGTGTGGTTGTGTTCTCTGAGCTGGATGGTTTGGTTGCGAAGCTTAGAAATTTCTCTACAATCCCCCAGCTGCAATAAAATACAGTCTGTAACAATGCAAACACGTTTTACATGTTAACGGAAACAAAAAGCGTTTTAAAGTTGAAATGCAAACATGAAATCCCACTTATGGCTTGAAATGCCTGCAGGTTGGGGAAGAGATTCAATTAATGTCGATAACAAACTCATACAAACAATTTAAATCTATCAATGAGATAAGAATTGAAAATCGCTGAGTGAATGAATTCCCAGCTTGAAAATTTTCAGGGTGCGTAAATGACACTCTATTGCGTAATTGAATTCAGAAGCCCTAGATTATGGCCTAGGAACTTTATATTATTTAGCCATTATTACTGAATATCAATGAGGCGTGAATTTCAGCTTTTTCTAATTCCTGAGTGAACAGAGTTGCTCTGTCGAATATTGAAATTTATAGAGTAAAAGGAACAGCAAAGTCCAGCAAAGTGTCACGTTTCGGAGGCGTTTTCATTCACTAAGCTGTACAATCGCATTTATATATAAAATTATTTTGTCTCTTTGTGTGTGCACATTAGGATTGTCAAACAAAAATAAAAAATTAGTTAGGTTTACTGTCTGCGTCATCAAAATGCTTCTAAAATGTGGTAACTAGGCGGGAAGGAGGGTGAAGACTGGCAAGTAGTGACAAGGGCTGCGTAATATGAAATAGGTTGTTAATCGAAACACATGTCCAAAAATTAAATTCTGCAGTAGGTAGAAGGAGTAAATATAGGGTTGGTCAAGAAGAAGATGTTACGAAGATGCCATGGAAAAATTCAAAGGACAAAAGAGAAAACAAAACATTATCAACAAAGTCGTGGAACTTGGAATTATACCCAATGGTAGAAGGAGGGCATGGAGACGTTTCTTCTCTGTGCATACATCAGGCTTTTCTATCCGGATGGATAAGGCCTCCTCAGCAATGCAAAGTATACGGAAGCTTACCATTTTCGCGAGGCTTCTTTTGACTTTGTAGATGACTTTGAATGAATGAATTCTCCGTGCATACTGAGTGACGAGTGTTCACTATATGTTCACTTATAGCACTATTTATTGATCCACTGTTGCTGTATTGTAGACAAGTGGGATAATGTTCTTTGACTCTTTTGGATAGAACACACGCTTCGAATGACCAATATATACAATATCTCGCACGCTCCATATGAGCAAGTTAATCGGTAGTCACACATAGAAGTGGTCAGTTACGATAGTTTATCTTTGGAGTTGTTGAAGAACAATGGACGGCTTGAGAATACCAATTGTAATCTAGGGGCAAACATTGTTGTTTTCTTAAAGAGTTCAATAATGAACCACCTGTTGCACTATGAAGCTAGTGTGAATACATAGTGTGATTTTATTCAGTCAAAGGACTATGGAGTGAATGAGGTAAAGAGTACAGGAAAACAGATATGGAGCGCATCAATTCCAGCTGAACTAGGATTAAAATGTATGAAATTTGTATACTTTATACAACTACATTCATCAAGTACTTCTCAAAGTTCAAATGTTCTCCTCCTTGATTTAAATGAGAAATTTTCATTGAGTGTTTTGCAAAGAAGAGAAGAGTGAATAATTTTTTAAATTTAGCCATGATTTATCTACCTTACCTACATTAATATTATTTTTTGTACACATTAAAATCTTTCACTACATTAGGACCATGTTACTCTCTTATATCTTCTCTGCTTCCTGTCAAACCGATATAAGTATGTACCTTCAATGGAAATCTTTGCGGATGGATAAATGATATGAATATTTGGAAATATCAGTGGAAATTAGTAACAAATTCGAAACTGTCTACTGACAGTAGAAAACAGCCTACAAGTATACTATGTATGAATGTAAAGCAAGCGATACAAGAAAATTGGACTAACAGTTTCTCATCATCTAGTCTAATTACAAGTCAGTCCAATTCTGAGTTGAATAAACCAGCTCAAGCGAGGCTTTGGAGTCCTCCAGTTCAAGCTGTACACAAACTACGCTGTCTCCAGTTTGTATATGAAATTGATGTAGGACTGAAACACGGCGATTCAACGAGACGTCTAAAGGAAAACCCGAAACTGGCTCTATTACGTCATCAAGAAGGGTGATTATATCCATCTTTGAGTTTCCCAATGGTTTTTTTCTCTTTTTTTATAACCTTATTTTTTATTCCCAGTGATACTAAGTATCAGAGTATCAAAAAAAATCTAGAACATTTAAAACACAAGACAGATTATACCTCTGTAGGTTTAAGATAATTGCCATGATGAACTGCATGAGTAGACAGATATCCTTCTGAAGATTTACATTCGTCTTCCTCCATTACAATAATATGAAATTTTTTAAATTTTATTTCTTTAGTGACTATAAATAAGGAAATAAAATGAGATTATAGAAGGATTCAAATTGAATATTTGTCACTCAATACAAACCTTGCTCGTTAGAGAATACTTACTTACGGATGGCAATCTTTTCATTTCTTTGCCTTGATGCACAGCCTTGCTAGTCATACACAGATGGTGTGAATATTCCATGTCCTCATGCTTAGTTTTGAAAAGTATCTACCAGTCCGTATCATCTGTTTTCGAACTAAAAGTCTTTCTCCGAATGCAGCGCTGAATATGACTGGCTTTTACTGTGCTTTTATATTACAGTAAAAATAGGGTCTGTTTCAAGGATGCGGTCACTAGCTTTATTCCAAACATTTCCTCTTTTGCAGGCTTAGAATCAGACAGTAAACTAGGCAAGGTCAAGCAAGATTCGCAGAGGATCGAGTGAAATGAAGATTGTTGAGGAATTAACCGTAATAACACTGAAACGAATACATGAGTCCTGTTGAAATTTTCATCCTTTTTTAAAATTTCTTAGCTGTCTTCGTCCAAAATATGATCCCTTATTTCTTTCTTTAATATATCTCCAAAACGTGAACATTTTGGTAGTAAGTAATTCCATATTAGTTTGATTATTAGGTGGACATATCACACATACAGTGTGAAAAAGTATTACTACATACTGAATGACAAGGTTTAGAACACAATCTAACATTCAAGTGTTGGTTTGTAGGGATTTGATTGGTTACAGGATTTTCATCATGAGCTGACATTAGTTAGAGAACCATTGGAAAACCTGAGAGTACTGGAGAGCTGTTTAGTCCTAGTTTGGGACTCTTCAGCAGTGCGCACCCAACGGGATTCGAACCCGGGACCTTCTGGTTACAAAGTGAGCTCATATACCATTAGGTCACTGAGACACGATCCAGTGGCCCATGAATTCAAACCTCTACTAGTTCACGACATAGCGCTGGTCCCAGTGGCCTAATGGTATATGAGCTCACCTTGTAACCAGAAGGTCTCGGGTTCGAATCCCGGTGGGCGCGTACTGATGAAGAGTCCTTAACTAATACTAAACAGCTGTCCAGTACTCTCAGGTTTTCCAATGGTTCTCTAACTAATGTCAGCTCATAATGAAAATCCTGTAAACAATCTAACATTGTTCATAATCACGTTAATTATAATCACACTACTTCGAAACTTGAGTTTTATGATTTTCTTTGTTCCTTCCTATTCGTCGTCGTACAGCTAGTAGAATTTCCGAAGATGTCCAAGTGGACATGTGTTGAATCATTCCTGTGACATGTATTTTCATTCAGTTGATTCGCTGAATAAATCCTCCGTAGTTGTTATCAATCTCTCCTTCCACCCTGTTGTTATATTAGAATTTAAAACTGTCAACTTATCCCATCCTATTTGTGTGGTTGTGTGTGTGTAATTGCATGTAGTGAGTAGTATAGCTGGTGAACTATTGTCTAGATTTCTAATCTTATTGTGTTCAACCAACCTACCTAGATTTTGGTAGGTGTTTTTACTGCTTCGCTAGTCTGACTGACCCATCTTACTAGTATTTTTGACGTATGGATTTGACGTGAGCATGGTTGCAGTTGGAGTATTAGATAAAGTAAATTGTTTTGAATAAGGCGCTGTTCCACAGGATCCTTCAACCCATACAACTTCTTTCTAATCGGGTTTGCTGGAAGTTCGAATGCCAGCCACCCTTACTCCTGCCTTGGTAAGAATTCTGCGTAACCTTTCCGAGGTTCCTTCCTTGTATGGAATTACTACTGATGATTTAGATTCCTTATTGTTGGTGTTGTCAATATCCTGTGCATTTTTGACACGCATTTCGTCATTAATATTACTAATATTATTATCGCTATGACTACTGTCAGTATTTATTTTATTGTTACATTTCCATACATACTCTCTGACTAATTTGTCAGGGTTATTATTTAGTTTCCTAGCGTCTCTTATATGCCTCACTTCCTGTCTTAGATTTTCCTTGGTACTACTTAGTTTTGTGCTCTAGTATTATTTGCAGCATTTCACCAATCCCAACATTTTTACTGAAATACGATGGGATGATAGGAAATCCAAATATCTGTTTGAATGTGTGGGTTTCCTGTAAACACACTAGTGTGTTTTACTTCCCATCTTTTTTCCTTCTTACGCTACAGTATAACACTGCAAGCTCCTCTACCTGACTTTCTAATATTTAAGTGAATTGAACTGCCTTCATCTTTGAGTTAATGTGTTCGAAAAACCTATCTATATCTTGTGTTCTAAGTACAGTGAATATGCCATTTACATATCTCCACCATAATTTTTCAGTGAGGCTGAACGTTTCATCAATCGCCATGTTTTACCACCTATCCATGAATATGTCTGGCACAACTTGAGATTTCTGTGGTCCCATGTCAACTCCATCAGTTTGTTTTTATACTTTTCCTTGGAATTTAAATACTCTGGAAGTCAGGCATAGCTGCACTCCTCGCTAAAGTATGCCCTCTAGTGGCACTTTCATTCTAAGTTCGAGTTCTTGGTCAGAAATGAATTCGCTTCTGAGTGGCTCTATAGCCATATTTATTATCGGTATACGTGTATACAAACTGACAATGTCAAAACTAACCATTTTCTCTTCATTATCTAATTTTAAATTATCTAATCTGTATGTTTCCGTTCATAAGAATTTGTTAGTCTAGATTTTGAGTGGCTTTTAAAGGAATTTAATATCATTGCCAAATATTTAGATGATACATAATAGATAACAGATTGGATAGCGTTAAGTAGTGGTATGTACTAATACTATATATAAACCTTTAGTTCTATACACTGACGTATTCGTGTATGGATTAAATTGATGAGAAGAGTTAAATAAAATATAGTAAGCGTGAAAACATTTGCGGTCAATAGGTGAAGTACTTATTCACAATAAAAATTTTGGTTTTCATTCCTGTCAGTTCAACTTCTTAAAGGAATAAACTTCTTTTCTGATTGACTGTCCCTCCGATTTCTAGCATTAACATAATATTCTTGGTATGATTATGCATGGTGACAGTAAAGCTATAGTCATACAAGAAGTTACGAAATGATATTTAAGAATGTTTATCGCCAAGGTGACCAGTTAATTTGGTTGAAACAACATTAAACAATCATACAATAACACATCAGGGTTGTTTTTGTTTTGTTTTTTATAGTCAGGTCTAATGCAGTGTTTGTAGTGATAGTGTGAGTAATCCTGCATAATACAAAATATTAGGATGGTGATAATGGCTTTCACAACCTATGATTGTCAGTCAAAATTAACGAACAAAAAACAACAGCCACAAAAACTAATAATTACATGATGGTTAATGACAGGACAATTTTGTGATACTCATAGTGCTAATAGAGTCGGAACCAGTAGATACACAAAAGATGGAAAATAGTAAAGTACAAAAATTAAGCCAATGTTAATAATTTAGGTAGCTAAGTATGTTTAAGAAGGAGTTCACGAAAGAATAACAAATAAGAGTGAAATAAAAGAGCCTAAAGTTATGTTATTAACAACAAAGCAAGTCATCACTGATGTTCATTCATTTTCTCCCCCCCCCAAATGATATGGAATATATCTCTCGCAATTAGATTTGAAACACATTTTTTGTATGCGATTCTACATAAAAAGAACACAATATTCAACGAAGAGACTCTTTACAACAACGAATTTATTATCAAGCTGCACAATCGTATAGATATGGTTTGCTTAAGAAATTATATCCAGTGTCAGAATTAGATCAAAAGTGCGAACACGTGAAATAATAATAATAGTAGCAGTATGAAATGCAATTAAAATATTTCTGATTATAATCATACTTAAATGTCAAGTAGCAAAACAATTGATGTCATATATAGAATAATTTTCAAGTATTGGTGTTGTAGGGATTTTGTTTGATTACATGGAGGATTTCATCATGAGGTTACATCAGTTAGAGAACCACTGGAAAACCTGGGAGAATTGGACAGCCGTTTTGTCCTGGTTTGGGACTCCTTAACAGTACGCACTCAACAGGGTTTGAACCCATGACCTTCTGGCTACAAGGCGAGCTCGTAGACCATCCAGCCACTAGGACCCAGTCCAATTGTTCTTGAATTCTAACTTCTGCTAATTCACGACCAATTGTGCGACCATTTCGCAATGTATTCTGCAATGAGTTACTGCCTTATCTCCAACCTGGTGTACCCTACTGGTCACGGCTTCCCATTAGAACCCCAGGTTAACTGCCTGAATAGGGCCAGTCACTAGTGAGCATCAGATTAATTTTCAAGTATTGGTTTTGTAGGGATTTTGTTTGATTACATGGAGGATTTCATCATGAGCTGACATATAGAATAATACATAAAATGGATGTATAGATGTTGGAATGGAGTGCATAATTATAGGATTAGTAGACGAATATAAAATGTTACATAACATGGTGTGAAATTTGATTAGATAGAATTCAACATTATAAAAATAAAAATATAAAAATTGATAATTTTGGGTTTAGAATGACAAGTGGGTCAAGTGGAAAAGATTCAGAGTGAGAATAGTAATCATAATAATAATGATAATAATAATAATCGTAGTAATAAGGGAAAGGAAAATAAACAAAAAAACGAAAACAAAAGAATGCTTTTACTTGTGAATAAATGGGTATTTTTCGTGATTTAACAGCGTGCAAGGACCGATTGACAGCGAAGGGACAGAAGTGAGTTTCTACGATATTCTGTCAAGCTGACGGAAGCGAATGCTTTAT